CAGACACTAGTTTATTAACCACTTCGACCTGCCCCTCGGTTACACAGAGCCTTTTGTTTACTTCCGTCAACATAGCTTCCTGTTTGGCAGACCGAGTGTCTATAGTATCTAGCTTGCTCATGATTATTGGCTGGCCACTTTGAAGACCCCTAAGCAGGTCCATTTCTTCTGCAGTAATAGGTCCAGGATTGAGTTCAACATCGCCAGAAAGTAACAGGAGAAGAATCAAATACAGCACCCGATTCGCAAAAAGGCGAAAATTTCTACGAGACAATCGCACAAAACACACTCGTTTGCGACAGTGGGAAATAACACTTGTCATGGGAGGAGCCGGCAACGCATACAAAAGTTTAAACACTTGAAAAGGGCAGTGTGAACTAACCTGCATAACCAACAGTGTTGTTAGGTGCATGTCTGCAAGCGTGCCGGCTCCAAATCCCACGAAGCCGAAGTGTTGCGCGCTTAAGTAGGCTTGCTTGATGTCACGTGGCCGTCGATGCTCGAAGCAGACTGGTGGACCGTTGTCGGCGAGGGCTCTATCAAAACGATGCTTGAAGTCGGTGATGACTGACAGTCCGCTCTTGTTGTTTATTGTCGGTACATGCCATCCGAGTGCGGTTGTCAAAAATGGTTCTGGCGATAGCGGGAACACTGCCCGCTCGCCAGCCACGCCGAGCAAGAACGCCGATCCGATAAGGTTAAGAACCTGCATAACCAACAGTGTTGTTAGGTGCATGTCTGCAAGCGTGCCGGCTCCAAATGCCGCTGCTGGTAGTAATCCGATCGAACGCCGTTCGAGTGACGCTGGCATATAGTAAGTTTAGTTTGTGCATAATGCAAAATCGTAGGACTGGGAATGAAATTTGAAAGAAAAAGTGTAAGAAGAAAGAAAAAAAGGGGACAGGACAACGTCTCAACCTCAACTCAGCTGAAAACTGAGCTTGGTAGAACGTCTCAAACTCAACTGAGCTGAGTTTGAGACGTTGCCCTGTCTCCTTTTTGTCTCATTACACTTATTCTTTCAAATTTCATTCCCAGTCTCTGGATTTTGCGTCATGACCAACATACACCAGCTCGCCTGCACCTTGACATTTTTTTAGTTTGCAATTGCTTTGGAGGTTTATTTTCCGGGACGGAAGAAACGCCGACCAAAAAGCACAGAAGCAGACACAACTCGATGTCGAAGGGGGCGCTGCGAGCGCTGTGACCTGTAGGGAGCCTACATACTCGCCGACTCCGTCTTTTAGGGTGGTGACAACTCCAACCATTGCTGCCAAACGCCCGATCAGACGGCCGCCAAACCTGACGAGCCGCCATCTTTCTCCCCAGCTGTTGCGTGGAAAACGGTGCAGGGGTAGCAATTTGCACAGGTTTCGTTGGTACAGTGACTTTTTACGTCATTAACTGTTTTGTAATGATGTATGGTGGTACTTAGCTTAAAAGGCGAGTTTTTTGGGCTCATCCATACGATAAATAAATTAATGTTTTCACCCAAAAATTTCGTAGGCAACTAAAATTGCTCATAAAAAAAGCAGCAACTCTCCTAAAATAACCTTTATGTCCACATTTTCCCATTACAGTTCACAGTTGCAAATCGGAGTAAAAAATAAAAATGCATTTTTTTAGTTTTTTATTAGACTTGAAATTTTAATAAAAAGATTTGACTAATATAAGACATATTTGGAGGAAAGTTGCCAATGTATTCTTCAAGTCCCTGAATTTTGCGACCCGTTCTGGTGAAGAGTTAATTGGCTAGGACGAAATCGTTAAAGGTGTATCCACACGACGGACCGGGCCGCGGACCGATAGATCACGTGATGCGCGGCCCGCGGGCCGCCCGGCTGCAATGAGCATCCACACGGCGGACCAAAAGAGCAGACGACAGAGTGAACGGGCCGGTCTAACCCTCGACCTCACAGCTCCGCCAAACGCGTGCAACGAGCTGCTTTGAGGCTATTTGTAAGGAGCCAAGATGGAGGTTGAACGAAAGAGACTTTTGGCCGCGGTGGCTTTGGCGTTGACTATTGAAGACGAGGAGGACTTAAGTGAACCGGAAAGGGCATGCATCTATTGTCCCACAGAGCGGGAAATCGCTCCACGAGCGCAATGAAGTAAAAAGTTGCATCGTTGCACCATGCCGCCATCGTCGCACAACAAAAGGTTTGTCGTCTTCGTCTTCAACAGTTGGCGCCAAAAGAACACGACTTTGGATTTGGATTCCAATCCAAACAAAAGTCAGCTTGTTGCCAGACTTAGCACTTCAATTATACTAAAAACGCCGCGGTCCGCCGCCAAGGTCCGGGCGAGAAAACTGGCTTGGCATTTCTCACAAGCGCGGGCCGCGGACCGCCGGCGGACCTCGAAAAGCGGTGACGTAAGATCACGTGATGCGCGGCCCGCGGACCAAAACAGCAATTTGGTCCGTCGTGTGGATACACCTTAAAGGGGCATTTCAGTCACGACCATTCCCAGTGTTGCAGCAACGGTGCGGGATCAAAAGGGACGGTCATTGGGGGAGTGGAGGTGCCACCTCTGCAAGCGCGTAGCCAGGGGGGGGGGGGGGTGTTCAGGTGCCAGAACCCCCCCCCCCCCCCCCCATTTTATTTCATTATATATATATCTATACATATTTATTGTTTGTGGGATTTGACCAGCTCCTTGAAACACCCTCCGAAACAATTGCATGGCTACGCCACTGCACCTCTGGCAGCACCCAGCACCCCCAGCCCCGCTTCGCTTTACTGGTAGGTTGCGATCTCAGGATGTGAATAGGAAAGGGGGGAAGGGGGGAGAGTAAGGACAAAAGTCATAAGGGCCCCGGGCGCGTATTAGCAAACCATATCCCGTACAGTGCCTGGCCACGCCCCCTTCGGCGCGACGCAAAAGCGGCCATTTCATTGGTTTTCAAAATGTCAAGTGACATGACGTCACTTCCGCGCCGTTTGAACGCATTTGAGCGCGTTTTCGTCTCGTCAAGATGGCGTCCGCCGCTACGCTTGTGGGTGAGACGCGCGTTACGCTGCGCCACTGTAAACACTTCGTTTCACGCGCGTGCCTAGATGACTGGAATGCTTTCAGCTTAGCGATGAGAACTCGTTTTTCGGTAAATGAACGCCCAGGACTGCACGCCGAGATGATGCCACCGCATACGTGCCGCTGCCGAAGTCGCCCATACGAGTACGACCACTACGATCGTCGAAGTTCGCCGCTGCACCGTAGCACCAAATGCTAGCAACTGATGCTTTCACCTGGGCGATGTGAAATCGTTTTTCGGTAAGATGAACGCCCAGGACTGCATGCCGACATAATGCTACAGCATACGCTGTAGCATTATGTCGTGAGATGCGCAACTCCAACCTACTGCGGTACATTTACTGAAGGTGTCAGTCATTCTGAGGGTACTTTGATGGTGATAGAACGACACCTCCACCGCTTTCCGAATTCGCACTGGAACACGCGTAGACATCAGGCGCAGAGCGCGCCCGTGTCACGATTAGGCGCGAATTCGCGTAACGAGAACATATTCACGTATAAAAAGCATTGCGCCCGCGTCGAGCCGTCCTCCTGCTAGCATTTGGTGCTACGGTGCAGCGGCGATCTCCAAGAATCGTTATGGGTCGTACTCGTAGGGGCGACTTCGGCAGCGGCGCGTATGCGGTGGCATCATCTCGGCGTGTAGTCCTGGGCGTTCATCTTACCGAAAAATGAGTTCACATTGCTAAGTTGAAAGCATTCGAGTCATCTAGGCACGCGTGTGAAACGAAGTGTTTACAGCGGCGCAGCGTAACGCGCGTCTCACCGACCAGCGTAGCGGCGGACGCCATCTTGACGAGACGAAAACTGCAACACAGACCAAACACCAGCCAGGCCAGCCAGGCGCGCACAGAACGTTGATTCGGAGACTCCAACACATTAAGTTTCTGCCTGGGGCAAGTTCAAGCTTCAAAGCAGGAGAGTATAGGCGAAAACGGGCTCAAATGCGTTCAAACGGCGCGGAAGTGACGTCATGTCAAGTGACATTTTGAAAACCAATGAAATGGCCGCTTTTGCGTCGCGCCGAAGGGGGCGTGGCCAGGCACTGTACGTGATATGGTTTGCTAATACGCGCCCCGGGCGCCGGATGGCGTAGCTACACCACTGTTCATTCCTCTAGCATGAGATTCCCGACCTTCGATAACTCTTCGCATCTCGTGAAGTTTCAGCGTGAACACGCGCAGCCAGAACAGGACAGAAGGCAATGAGCACGTGCTGGATGCTGGTCATCAGAAAAGATGACTAGAGGCCGGTTCTTGTCCTGTCATTGACCTTACCATTATCATTTTGGTCAGCAGTAGGAAAAGATTCCCTTTGCGCCGGTGAACGAGTCAGTATGAGAGGAAACTAAGATAGCTAGAAAAGCTGGTAAACATTCGCAAATCTGGCTTCATGAAATCTAGAACTAGCTAAAGAATATGTCACGTTAAAAAATACAATGTCCACAGCATGACATTGCTAGCGTAAAGAAGCAATAGCCGGTTTTCACTGTTCAACTTTTACGAAAAATATCACCAAAGCTACTTATGTAGTGGAAAAGGTTTATTTGGGCATCAACTTACGCGACAAAAATTTGCATCTCTTAATTCACTGTTTGAGCAAAATGAGAAAAAGCGCTGGTGGCGTTGTTCGTGCTAAAAGTGTAGTGCATTGTAGAAGAATGCAGCCTGCTACATTGATGAAACCTACTGAACATTTTATACTTAGGACGACGTGCAGGGCACAAATCACGTGACACACATGTTCTGAAGTAGGACAGCAGGCAATAATACGAGCATAAAATAAGAGTATAGGCAAAAGAACATAATATTTACAAGAAAGCAAATTCATCACTTACTGGAGACAACACGTACCAATAAATCACGATATCACTGAATTGAGAATTACTCTTCGTGATAAAACACACTATTCAGCGGTTAATTCAAGTTTGCCGCAGCACATGTCTTGCTCGACGCTCCGTTTACTTCCTATGCGTACTGCTGTCGCAGGTGAATCCTGATTCTAGTTCTGACATACTTTTCAAGAAGAATCTTCTCCACACAAACTTTGTGTATGTCACAGCACCCTAACTCCAATGTTACAGATTTGCGCAGAAACTCCAGAATAGTGGCAAATGGAGCCTTGAGCGTCAAGATGGCGTCTAGTTGGGTAAAAGCCTTGATGCTCTCTTCGCACTCTATCAGGACACTCATCACAGCTTGGCAGGGGTAGACAAGGTTCCCAGCACCCTTGACATACTCTTTCAGGTGAATCAAACTGCTGTGCGGATCATTACCATCCGACACAAGGACACCTTCGCAGTCCTCACAGTTGCCAATAGACTTCTTGACAAACCTAAGAATAAAACCTCCCAGGTAGGCCAGAATGTCGCACTCGACTGCAGTAAGTTCACACACGAGCAGGTTCTCCAGCTCTTCAGACTCTTGGTTGACATCTTGCACCTTCTTCTTGAGGGCTGGATCAAGGAGGTCAGCCAGGGGCATGCTGTCATCAACATTGTAGCTTGAAGATGTCTGGGTGAAGAGAAACTGACTGACACACATCAACTTCAAAGCATAGTTAATGTCATATGCACTTGGCATGGGTTTTCTGAGTCGCAGCACAGAGAAAATATTCTCAAGGCAGTCCTGGCTCAACCTGCCCGTGAGAAGGTACTTGCAGTTGTGCCTGTTTAGAAGTTCGTGAGACAGGCACAGAACGACAGTGGTAGAAACAAGAAGCCCGGCCTGCGACGGTTTCCAACGAGCTGTTGCTCCCATGTCCATCCGACAGAAGGTGGTGATTTCCAGGTCCAAAGTCCCGAGTGCTTCCGTGTGCTTTGCAGCATCAAAATGACTCAGAGCGACCATTGGGTGACGTGACAATATCAAGGTGTACCACCTAGTCACTAGATCAAAGAACCAGGCTGTTGTTTCAGCTTCAGGCGGCAAGACTTTTTGCTGAATTAGGTAGCGGATTGCGGGAGGAGCCTCACGGAACAATTGCACAGCAATGCTCACTTTCATTTTTGTGAAATGTCCATTGCTGACGTGAATGCCAGAAAGCCTGTTGGCGATCTTGAGTTCATTGTTTGCATCGTATGCAAGAACAGCTTCAACATGGTGGATGTCCACGGTCCCTCCAGGGAGGTTGTGCCCTCAGAGTCTCTTCCCTAAAGTAAAGGTCTCTGAACGAAGCAGTTGGGCACGAATATTTTTTAAAACATGCGCTGAATCAGCCATGAAATAGAGCTGCCTCCCGTCGAGGTGTGGGTGTGGGACAGAACACATGGTCTCAGAGTGCCTGTGATTTGAAAACTTGAGCAGACGCCACACTGCACGGTTTGCTGATCCCATGTCACTTGTAACTAGAGCGCCTTGAGAGAGATGTTGAAACATAGTTCAATGAGATGAAAGACAAGCTCCTTCAAAGCAATTTCGTCAGTTGATCGTCCAGTGAAGTGGTATGCAATCACTTGCTTCCACCGTGTGTTTAATCCCCCAACCATAAACACAAGGGCATGGTTCGCAACATTCACATGGGATTCTGGGAGTGTGGTGCTTCCAAAAATACGATCAAACGAACTGTCGTGGTCAAATCCCTGACTAATCTCCATCTCATTCATAAAGAACACACAGTCTTTCTCTATTTCTTCTATAGTCTGCACTTTCCGCTTTAGCACTTCAAAAACTTCGTCAAGAGCCCCAGGCAGAAACTTAATGTGTTGTAGTCTCCGAATCAACGTTCTGTTCGAGGGTAGCGGATATGACAGGGACCTCAACAGTTCATACCCAGATGTACCGCATGCGTGCTTGATTTGAAGAGCAACACAAATAGTCTTCTCTGACCACTTACGTCCTTTCATTGATTTCACAGTCAAAGCCTTTGTTTGGTCCGTGTTCAGAAATCTTGAACTTTTCAAAGCACTTATTTCTTTCTCAGCTGATGTCAGTTTTTTTGTGAGACTTCGCAGTCTTGATTTGGCTTCATCATGGAGCCTTTGCAAGTTTCGGTACTTTCGGGCCAGATCGGAGTTTTAGAGCGCAGCTCTTAGGGGCCCGTTCCCGGCTTGAGCGGCGTCGGCGTAACCAAGGTCACCCCAAGGTCACGCGACCCCCAAGGTCGCCCCAAGGTCACGTGACCCCAAGGTCACGTGGCCCCAGAGGTCACGTGACCCCTCCCCCAGGGTCACGTGACCCCCCGCCGAGGTCACGTGACCTCCCGATGATGTCATTGTCACTGATGACGTCACCGGCATCCGCATCGTCACCGTCATCATCACTGATGACGTCATCAGTGACGTCACTCATGACGTCACCGGCATCCGCATCGTCATCGTCATCATCACGGATGACGTCATCACTGACGTCACTGATGACGTCGGCGGGATCCGCATCGTCATCGTCATCATCACGGATGACGTCATCAGTGACATCACTGATGACGTCACTGACATCCGCATCGTCATCGTCATCATCGCTGATGACGTCATCGGAGTCCGGATCGTCATCGTCACTGATGATGTCATCCGTTTTATGATTAAGCCGATAGCCCTGGGAGACGGAGGCACCCCGCAAGGGTCGGTTCTCTCGCCGCTCCTCTTTAACCTGGCACACCTCCCGTTCCCGGCCCTGCTTCAGGACGTAGAGGGCATAGATCATGCTCCCTCTGCAAACGATATCACTGTGTGGACGTCGAGGGCGGGGTCGGAGAGTTGGATGGAGGAGACCCTTCAGAGAGTGGCAGAGACCGTGCACGAGTTCGCTAAATCGTGCGGCCTCAGGTGCTCGCCACAGAAGTCGGAGTTACTCGTGATCAAGCCAAGAAGAAAGAAAGAACAAGAAAACGTCCGCATCACCATCCATGGGACGAACATAACGCCAACCACGCGAGCACGTATCCTGGGTGTCATCTTCCAGAACAATGGCAAGGCGGAAGCGTCGATCGACAAGATCAAGGTTTCTACGGAACAAATTTCGAACATGATCAGAAGAGTCACGAACAGAGTCACAAAGGCCTGGACGCCCAAGAAAGACAGGGACCAGTTGAACCTCATTATACGCAAGGCAACCAAGATGGCGCTGGGCATGCCGAAGCATTCGTCGACCCACAAGCTTCTGGGCATGGCCAAATACAACGTCGTTGAAGAGCTAATAGAAGCTCATCTGTCCAATCAAACAGTTTGGCTCAGTCAAACTTCGGCGGGACGTCGAGTTCTTGCCAGGTTGGGCTGGCAAGAGGCAGATTGGAAGGAAACGGGGCCGTTACTCAGTTTATGGGCGCATAAACTTGACAGGAAGACGCTGCCTCGAAACATGAGGCCGGGTAGTAACGACGGCCGCAGAGCGGCTCGTATAGCGGCCTTGGCAAAGACTTTAGGTCAAATAGAAGAGGAGGAAGAGGGGGTCCCTCTCTACACAGACGCCTCGTTACTCAAGTTTTTATCGAAAGCCACGCTGGCAGTTACGACGCGGGATGCGCTTGTAAGCTGCGCCTCCATCAAGACGTCTTTTCCGGAGGTGGCAGAAGAGGCCGCAATAGCGCTAGCACTCGCGCAGCCCAAAGTGGGAAGAATTGTCACTGCCTCGCAAAAGGCATATAACAGCTACAGAAAGGGGTGGGTGCCTCTTGCGGCACTAGCTATTCTCAAGAGGAAACGTGACGTACCTGGAAGGAAAGTTGAGCTGATATGGACGCCGGCTCACTCTGGGCTGGGGGGAAACGAACTTGCCCACCAGTTCGCCCGAGAGATGGAACACCGGGTAGAGGAACGTGAGCCACAGTCCATAATTAGTTATAAGGATATTACGAACTACTACAGGGCGGAGAAGCGACGTAACCCCATCCTCACAAATCGCTTAGCAGAGAAGAGCAAGTTATTTACAGGCAGATACAGGCAGGATTTTTTCCGCACCCTTGCCTTCAAAACAGGATGTACCCGGAAAGGCACAAGAAGGAATGTAATTTTTGCAAGAATCATTTAGGCACGCCCCAACACGTCATTGGAGTATGCGATTTCGTCAAGCCAAACCTCCACCACTTACCATCCCCACTACCCCACCCCATCCCTCATCCCCCCTTACCGAGCGATGGGAGACCTTACTAACCAGCCCCGTACTGGAAGACCAGCTCGTCCTGATCTCCAGGGGCCAGGCGGCTAGGAAAGCATATGAGTCCCGTGACGAGGGAACCACTTCCACCGACGTCGTCTTAGACGCCGTCGGTGGAAGTCGTAATTAGCTCGGTTCAATAAAGTTGCTTCTTTCTCTCTCTCTCGATCTCGAGAAGCGTTCTACCATACCAGTGGCGTCGGAAAAGGAAAAATGAAGAAGGGGGGGGGGGGGGAACTGGAGGCCCCCCCCCCCCCTCTTTTTGCTCCGTTTTGTCGGACTGTTAAAAAAGATAATACGGGGAAAGGGGTCGTGGTCGACATTATTTTCATCTGAAATTATTTATGCATGTGTATGGCTGCTGTCGCTCTTTACTGCATAAAAGGTCGCGTAGATGATCATTGTTAGAAACTCGTTGTCAGAAGGCACTACTTGTCACATGCTTATCGTTTTGGAAGTTCAAAACTATGTCTTTTCAACATCAATAACTCTTCCAAATTTTATAAAAATAAACATAACAATAAATGCGTAAATAAAAACGGGAGAAAAAAAAAACAAAAAAACTACGAAGAGGTCGCCGGAAATGTTCTATTCTTGCATATTCAGAGGCCCAGAACTTTGAAACAAGTTTCTTTTACCAAAACGTGTACAGGCTGAAAGAAACAGGTCCCAGAAGCGTGAATTGAGAGGGGAAAAAAAATTAGAAAAGGCTTTATTTTTTTTTGTGGCGTGAACTTGAGCGTCATTAGAAACCTTTTTCCATGAGTGAATTGATTCCTCAACGTGAAAAAAATATAAATACAATTTTTTGTATTCTGCAGATGGCAATATGTACTGTCTGTGGTGCTAATTTAAATGCGATACCCAAACAATTTAGACAAAAAAGAAATTACCAAGTTTAGGGCATAATTGCCCGTAGATACATGTTTGGATATTTATTCGGAACTCATCTTGACGACAATTACCTAGGCTATACATAGATCATTCTTAAAATAATTAACATCTTTACCATAAATAGCTTTGGCTATAGAGCGCTTCAAATATGGCACGAACGACAATTGTCAAAAACCCGTCGTCCTTCCTCGCTCCTTCGGGAATTTATTTTTTTTAAAACTAAGCATGAGAGAACATTGAAATAATCGAAATTTTCTTTCGCAAGGAATGCGGCACCGCAGGTAAATATTCGAGAAAAAAAGAAGAAGCTTACGAATGTACCTGACAGCTTGACTCCCCAAATGAAACCGCCTTCCGGTATTTCGAAGTTCAACGGACTTGGGTCTTTTACCCTAAAAGTTCGAAACTCGTCGAAACTTTGACATTTTAGGTTTCGAAAGATTGAACATTTTCGGTTCCTTGAGAAAAATAGTTTCGAAAGTTCGAGAATTATCGAATTTCGCAGGTAAGAAATTCTAAAGTTCGAAACCTGTTTAGCGCAAAAAATTTGATAGTTCGAA